TGGTGCAGGAACAGAGAAACCCACCACTACATATACGTGCATCTATGTGTATAGCAGTACACATACATACTCATACTTATACTCATACACATACATACACATACATATACATACATATACATATACATATACACATACACATACCGTGCATGCACAAGAAGATGTGCATGCACTTACGAGAAAATATTCAGCGACCTGGAATATCGATTGCTGGTCTACTAAGAGCCCAGCGTACGTGCAAGCATTATGCATATGATGACAGGATGCATGTCTGGCGACATGCATCACAGCCTGAAGCATGCACACCTACTATAATGCATGCACGTATGCTGGGCTGATAGTAGATCAGCAATCGAGTATGCCCCGCCGCTGAGCATGTTTTTGAGAGTGCATGCACAAGAACATGTGCATGCATTTACGAGAAAATATTCAGCAACCTGGAATCTCGATTGCTGATCCACTAGCAGTCCAGCATACGTGCATGCATGGACTGCTGGTAGACCGGCACCCGAGTATTCCAGGTTGCTGAGTATTTGCAATACACCTACACATCTCTGTGTCCACATATTTGTATTTACATAGACACATCTATATCTTACTATTACAATATGTACTCAAAACGGCTTTTAGCTTCTTTGAATAAGGTTACTAAGAACTATGCAAAAGGTGCGGCTACTTCACGTTCGCGAGAAGCTTTCATGCCAGTCTGGGTTGTATTTAAGAAAGCAGAAGGTAGTGAGGCAATACGTGGCAATACAAGACAACACAGTGGAATAGCGCAACGAGGCGGCAGCGTGATGTAGATTGCGTCACACGGGAAAATACTTTCTGCGAGCATTGTTACCCGTTGACACTGCTACGAAAGGTAAAACTTGCAGATGGCACCGACGGGGAAGAGATTATTGAAGATCTCGCAATGCCGATACAGATATTTGCTGCCGTCGGCATGCTTTACATGATATATCATGGCTTTGTCCCACGCAGGTCTAATTTTGTTGAGGAAGTGGAGGGCACCGGTGGTGTTGCCTCGCTGGGCACAACAGTGAATGACCCCGAAAATGTGTTGCATCTGGAGAAGGATAGAGCAAAAGAGGAACTACAAGCATTAGCGTGTAATACTGAAACTCGTCATTACCCACAGTTGATGTCTGCTTATGTGGGTATTGTAAGGGGGCAGCGGGTTTCCCCCCAAGATGGGATGAGACCGAGCCCAATGGTGTGTTCGCTGCAAGAACAGCCCCACCAGCTGCTGGTAATAGAGTTTTTGATGACGATCATGGGGACGATATAAACATGGGCAAAGG